GATACAGAGCAAGACAGAGTAACCCTCAGCGGCTAGACAAAGCAGCAGAGGAGTCAACCAGCTAAGGGGAAACCAAGGACAGCAGGGCATTTGTTAATAAGATTTTGTTGTTGTTCTATAAGTAAAGTAACATTTGGTATTTTATATGATAGGAAAATAGTTTATAAATTTTCAGTGCTGTTTTATGTTCAGGTTGTATTTGACAGACCTTACTTATCCAGCTATAAGTAGCACTTAAGATCTCAAACCACCCACCCCATCTGTTACCAAGGCTAAGGAAACTGTATTTTTAACAAATGCTCCAGGTAAATTTATATTCTTAAAAAATTTAAAAAATAACGTATATTCTTAGCCAAATTTAGGATGTACTGCTATAAAACAATCCAGTAAGCATTAATGATGGGAGGCTGTCACAGCTTAAAGCAGATGTGTTATATGGGATGTACCTGTGAGAGTCATAAGCAGTGCGTGTCATATGGCAGAGACGCTGTGATAAATGTGGCTGTGGTCACATTTTAAGGTTAACAGCCCACCCTTTGTATGGAACTTTCCTGTACCAGAAAGATACTGGCACATAAGTAGGAATGGAGGAAGACTAAACACGAGTTGCGCCCCTGAGGAGGGGGCCGGTCTCCAACCCCATGTCTTTTCTGGTTCTGTCCCATTTGCTTCTTATTCTCATTTTCTTGTTGTTTCTTCCATTACCCCTAAGAAAAGAGCCTTGGACCTCACTCGTACTCAAAGTTTTGATTCTTAAATATGAATTTACCTGCCGAGTATAAAACAGGATGCTTAAAAGATAGGCCCGGTCACCAGTTCTGTAGCACCGCAGCTTAGTGTTCCTTCCCACTGTCTGTGTGAGTTTACTTCCTGTGACCCAAACATAGCAACATCTTCTGCTTGTTGTAAATCTCATCCCTTGATTTTCTGCGTCAGGTGCCAAGCAGGCTGTACCTCCCACTCCAATAACTCCTAATCCTCAATGGTTCTTTATCTCTACTGGTTGTGGAAAGTAGTTGGTAGGTTGTTCAGGATTTCTCTTTAAATACCCTTATCCTAGTGGAATAACTGCTATGCAGTCCAAAAGACTTTGTAAAACTGAAGTTAATATACAGTCATGAGGATCTTCATTTTCTGTTTTACTTCCCCCATCAAAAAAGTACTTTGTGGGGGCCAGGAAGATAGCTCAGTAGAATAAGCGCTTGCCTGGCAAGCTCAAAGGCCTGAGTTCAATCCCCAGTTCCGCAAAAAAAAAAAAAAAAAAAAAAAAAGTACTTTGTAATTTGTAGGCTATCGAGATAGGAAGGTTATCCTCCATCCTTTGGTATTTGTGTTTCCCTTCTGTGCATATGTATCCTTAAGCCAGCCTCTCATCTGGGAGTATTTATGTGTGGGGCAGTTCATGCCATGGTGTTGGCTGCCTGGAGCCAGAAGTAGGGGGGAGAAAAGTCTGAGGATATAGCCTGGGCGCCTGAGACCCATCCCGAAGACGGTAATGTTTAGATGTGCCTCAAAGTACTGATGCTTCTGCAGCTATCTTTGTGCAACTAAACCCGTTTATAGATTCCATCCAAAGACAGGTCTAGGGCTGGTGAGGTGGCTCAGTGGTCTAAAGCACCTACTTAGAACAAGCTAAGCTAAGCAAAGCACAGGGACCGTGGTTCAGTCCCCCAGCACCGCATGCCAGCCAGCTCTGCCCCCTGGTGGGCTGAGCTGGCCACACACACACACAATAAATAAATAAATAAATAAATAAATAAATAAATAAATAAATAAATAAATAAATAAATAAATAAATAAATAAATATTTAAAAAAGACAGGTCTAAATAAAGGGAAATAACTTAGGGGAAAGGTGCCCTTTTTTTCCTTTTGGTGATCATGTTCTCCTTTTAAAAATTTTTAATTAATTATTTGATACAGGATCTCAATACATGGCCTGACTCATAGTGATCCTACTGTCTCAGCCTCTCCAGTGCTGGGATTACAGGTATAGGCTACCACGCCCAGTTCTGGTGGCTGGCAAAGTGCACCCAAGATTCTGGGGCTGGGCCGGCATGGCATGTTCTCTTCAAATAAAATTTTATATGATCCTGTATAGTAAAACTATATATAATTGGGTTCCTATTCATTGTTGGAAAAATAAATCTCGAAGATCTCTAAGGTGGTGCACACCCGTCACCCCAGCTCCTCAGGAAGGTCTGAAGTGTGAGGTCAGCCTAGTAACTTAGTGAGATCCTGTTTCAAAATAAACAGAAGGCCTGCAGGTGAGCTCAGCAGCAAGACAGTTACTTGTGTGAGACTCTGAGTTCAATCCCTAGGCCCCTTCCCCCCACAAATTAAGGCACCTTGTTTATTTTTATATATTTATTTTGTTTTGTTTAATTTTAAACAACTAGAACTTGTTTCATTTCTTCAAACCTTGTTGGTCTAATTTTTCTCCCTAAGTCTGGTCACAGTTAAGAACTAAAGATGAGAAACTAGAAAAACAGAGCAAGCCTGATTGGTGGTAGAAAGATGAGAAAGCACCTGAACATGTGGGGTGCAGCGCCAGGCATCAGGGTCAAACCCACCTCCACCCAGTCCTGGGTGGCCTGGAGTGCTGTCCTATGTGTCCACTGCGCCCAACACCTCTGTTAATCCAGCCTTTCCCTCCGGGTGAGCCCAGTTTCAGGATACCAAACTGCAGACCTCCTCCTCCATGCCACCCCCACCTGCCCTGGATGACACCTGTGAAGCCTTTGGGCCTCACATGATGTGCCCAGGGATGGTGATGGAGAAGATGATGTGGAAGAAAATGAAGAAAGCTCATAAAAAAGTGCATAAACACTGCAAGCATGGCGAGCATGCCTCCTCCTTCCCTCAGTGACTGGATGCAGGGCCTGGACCCTCCTCTAGTCTTGCCAGCCCCCTCTCCCATCAGGCTTCAGCTGCCGCTCATTGTATTGGAGAGTTACCCCTCCTCAGCCCCTTCCTGAGCCTTGCCCTGCCCTGCAGCCCTGGCCCCTGGGGACGTGGGAAGTGAATCCCATGTGCTAGCTAGCCAAGGTCATCCTCCAGCTGCTTGATAGGTCCATAGCTGAAGGGTATCGTGAAGCGGGGTTTGAAGATGGCAAGATTGCTGAGCTGAATGCTGAAGACAGGCTTTAGATAGGGAGGTTTGGGGGACATTTCATTATAAGAAATCCTGTTTAAAAAAAAAAAAAACTAAAATACTACTGTCCAACAGCTCTCAGAAAATGTATAATCTACTTAGGCAAGCCAGAATCACTGGAAAATTAAGTATGTCAGACACCCGCAGGCAGCCACAGAGCATAAGCAGGGTACAGACAGTAAACTCCTAGGAACAAAAAAGATAATTTGTAAACCTGCGAGTAAATACCGTTACTTTTCTCTCCCAGGGAAAGTTTCTAGTCACCTTCCTAGCATCTCCCAAAAGTGTACACCTCTCAGCGCCCCAGACGTGCTCCATGGTGACCTAGTTCTTTCGCACACTGTTGTGTTTAATCGTTCTTTTTCATGAGCATCCTCAGGTTTTTCTCGAGGATATTGCTGAGTCCTGAGTCACACAGTAAAGAGACAGCAGCCTGGGCATTAGAGACACTGGTATCAAGTTGGAGTTCAACTCTGAGGGCTTCTGCTGTCCAGGCATGAGAAGGTGGGAAGTTGCTGGTTCACATTCTGGGAGTCAGAGCTTGTTTTCTGACCTGTCGCCTGGCCTTGTCCTGAGGCTCACATTCCATTTCCTTCTTGCTTTCTGCTGTAAGCAGACTGTAAAGCCTACTGATGGCCCTGTCTCGCATGCCCTGGCTGGCAGTGACTCGTATCCTCATGTTCTGCCTTGAGCCCTCTTTCCGTGGGGAGGCACAGGCCTCCACTGTAACTCTGGCCTCCTGGCTGCCTTTGGCCATGCCCTTTGCACCAGTCCTTTGTTGGCCCTTTGTTTTTT